TAAGTGCAAAAGAACCTGGGATGGATTCCAGGTACCCTGGGCATTGCAGGAGGAGTAGGCAACCAGCTTTCCGGTCACAGGAACTACAGATTGAGAGGCAATTGCAAAACTGGAGTTTTTCTAGGAACTTCCAAGAGAAAGTGAGACTTTAAACTTCTTCCAGGCCCAGTGTGAAACTGGCTTATGATGGCCCTAGTCAGGAAAAACACTTTCATATTCCCTCCACCTCTTCTCCTTCTGCTTGCTTTTTTATTAAGCTAGGTCAAACATTACTTTGCTGACCACACATTTTATTTAATTTAATTAATTTATTTATTTCCTTTTTCTCCCCAAAGCCCCCCAGTACATAGTTGTATACTCTTCGTTGTGGGTCCTTCTAGTTGTGGCATGTGGGACGCTGCCTGAGCGTGGTTTGATGAGCAGTGCCATGTCTGCACCCAGGATTCGAACCAACGAAACACCGGGCCGCCTGCAGTGGAGCTCGAGAACTTAACCACTCAGCCACGGGGCCAGCCCCAACCACACATTTTAGTAATTTTGAGATGAACCATTTCTAAGTGTGATGCGCAGAACCAAGAAGCCACAAAAGAAAAGACTGACAGATTTGACTAAATAAAAATGCAAGACTTTTGAACAGCAAAATACAATATTTCTGAAAGGTTAAAAGATAAGCAACAAATGGGAAAACTATTGAGAGCATATAACAAAGGATTAATTACACATAGTATAAAGAGTTCCAACAAATCAGAAGGATATGAACAATGGGTAAAAGAAGGGGAAAGTCTATTGATAGAATAAGAAGAATTAGTCAAGAAATATGTGAAAATGTATTCAAACTCACCCAATCAAGTAAATAAATTTAAATTTACTTAGTTAAATTTATTGTAGTTGGCATCTGTGTTAGTTTCCTAAGGTTTGTTGTAACAAAGTACAACAAACTGAGTGGCTCTGCCAAGCCATGCTGTGGTGGTGCCCCACATAAAATAGAGGAAGACTGGCACAGATGTTAGCTCAGGGCCAGTCTTCCTCAAGCAAAAAGAGGAGGATTGGCAACAGATGTTAGCTCAGGGCCGGTCTTCCTCACACACACACACACACACACACACTCACACACAAAGCAATAGTATAGATGCAGCACTCCCGTATAGAGCTGACGGACTATAATTTGGTGGAACATTTTGGAGAGTAACTTGCTAGTATCTCTCGGACTGATATATTCTAAATGCACATATCTTTTTCTCAAGCTATTTCACTTTCATGAATATAACAAAATCTAAAATAGGCAAAGTCAACATGAAAAAAGAGGACCTTTGAAGGTAAGATTTCCAGGGAAATGGGGAGGATGATGTGTTAGACATTGCCACTGTTTTTAGTATTAGCAGGTGTCGTGCTCGAGTGGGTTTCAACCTCAAATCTCGTTGCTGTTCTTCAACGATGAACCCTGCTAGGCTTGATCTGTAGTCCTCTGAATAGCCAGCCCTTTGGGAATGGAGGAGATAACTACTTCGTTTTCCTCTGGCTCTTTCCACTCATGTAGCCTTGTGAGCAATATCTGACCAAGGCTGCCAGATTTAGCCAATAAAAACACACAATACTCAATTAAATATGATTTTCATATAAACGGCAAACATGTTTTTAGTGTATGTCCCAGGCAATATCTGAGATATACTGAACAAATTATTCATGTTTATTTTAGATTCAAATTTAACTGGACATCCTGTATTTTATCTGGCAACCTGATACCTGTCCCCAAGCTGCGCGACGCAGGTGACCCTGGCCCCTGGGACCTAGGATGCTGTGATGTGACTCTACTGTGTATACGTCATTCAGGCATATTCTCAATGATCCTTTCACAGAGGTTAAAAAAAGCAAAAAAACCCCAAACAAACAAAGAACAAAACATGTGACAGTGCAGTAAAAGATGTAACAGGAGCTGGTCTCGTGTAAATATTATGTTAATTAAAACAGATGGGTCTGGAGCATAAACAAAATAGCTGCTGGGGGCTGGTTTTTGTTCTGGCCGTGTTTCTTAATATGGTGACTCAGTTCCCATCCAGTTAACACTCTTTCCTTATCAAACATTGAACTGGGGAATAAGGAAGTTTAAATTACCACTGATTGGAAATCCGTTTTCCAAATACTTGAAACAGATGGTTTATTGCCTGAAAAGCATGCTTCTTTTCAGGGAATGGAGCGTTGAGCTTGGCTATTTTAGGAAAATGTTTTGCTGCGCTTCACGTATTGACATCAGGTTTGCACGTTGATGAACAGTTAGTTTCCCCTCGGCTCTCTTCCTTCCGTTGCATTTGCCTGCTGGGTAAAGGCCTCAATCTTAATGCTGCCTGCTCGTTTCTTAGACATTGTATTGGGTGAAAGCCTAGTTACTCCTCCCATCCAACTTCTCACAGCTTCAGAAAAAGAGCAACAGCCATGCAGAAGCTTTTTAAAAATGAATGTGATTTGAGAGTGTACATTTGATAAAGTTGGACATTCTACCAGCTGAACAGCAGAGATCTTAACAAAAAGATGATATCCTTTCGGCTCATTTTTTAAGGGATCTAGTATCCAATCTAGGATCACACATTGCATTTAGTTATCATGTCTTTTTAGTTTTTTATTTTTTTTGGCATTTTCTCCCCAAATCCTCCCAGTACATAGTGGTACATTTTAGTTGTGGGTCCTTCTAGCTGTGGCACGTGGGACACCACCTCAACATGGCCTGATGAGCGGTACCATGTGCGCACCCAGGATCCAAACCAGCGAAACCCTGGGTCGCGGAAGTGGAGCGCGCGAATGTAACCACTCGGCCACGGGGCCAGCCCCTTTTTAGTCTCTTTTAACCTATATCAGTTCTTCAACCTTTCTTTGCCTTTCACAGATGTTTGTGAAGAGTACGGTCTAGTTATTTTGTAGATTGTTCCTCAAATGGGTTCATCTGATATTTCCTCATTATTGAGTAGGTTATGCGATGCGTTTTAGGCAGGAGTACTAATAACAGCTTAGAACTGGATTTTCTAACACCATCCTCATGCTGTTCAAGAAACTTAGCCCTTGAGTCCTGCGAGTGGAAATTTTCTGTTGAATATTGATTTGACAATAGTGCTTTACGCCTCCCACCAAAGAATTTCAATTTGAACTCAGAGGCATGAATTTTGTATAAGATTCTCATAACCATATTTAAGAGTGAAGATGGATTGAGGTGTCCATGCGTTTCTGGGTTTTCCTCTTGGGACGAGATGAGCACTTTGGATATGTGCTAATGGTCCGAGGAAGGCTAAGGGAGGGCAGGAACTGGTTCTTGTAAACTGACAGTTCAGGAGAGTGAGAAGGAGATAATCGCATAATCCATTTATAACCACCCAAGTTAACAAGCTCTCACCTTCTCCAAATAGGCCCCTTATTTACAAATAGTCACTTCCGTACCAAAGTGGGCTCTCATCCGTGTGACCAGTCACACACAGCCAGTCTCATGGCATTATTATGCCTCAGTACCACAAAAATCAATTCCCATTAGGAGCACTATTAGAAGCTGTAACATATTATTAAATATATAATCTGAGCTTTGAAAATAATGTTTTCTCTTACTTCGTAAACATACTACCCTCCAAAACCACTTGTAGCCATGTCTGCCCAATGCGATCCTAGACTGTATCAGTAGACAAGAAATTTCTAGAACAACCATGGCTGGTCCTGTACTGCCACGCTCAGGTCAGACCACAGGTGGAGAATGGGTCCAGGCACCACACTGTGAGAGACATCCATAAAAGGAATTATTTACAGAAGAGAATGAATAGGTTGCTCAAGAATTCAAAATCAAGTCATAAGCGTGGCTTTTCAGGCCTTTTCAGTCCAGGCCTGGCCTGAGTCCCATCTTCGGTTCTCAGCTTCCTTTCTTCCTTGACTAGACAGAACTCTCGGCTTGCCCTTATCATTTCTCCTGATACCGAGGGACAAGGGCTGTGCTCCCTGCTGATGCACTTGCCAGATTTAGCTTGCCAGCCAGGACATCAGAGGATTTTCCTCAAAAGGGGTGCAGGATGATTGTCTGATGGAAGAAATTTTAGTCCACATGGGGCTGTCTCTATGCTCTTCAAATCCCACATTATGCCGTAAGAATGAACTTCCTTCCAGAACACGTGGCAGGGTCTGTCTGTCCACCAGGCCGCCCACTCAGGGTGTACGTGTAGTCCAGGTGCAGCCCTTCCATCTGTTTCCCTCTGGCCGAGGGGGCTCACTGTGTCTGGCCAAGTGTTCAGACACACACTATTTTGCAGGAAATGGGGAACAGTGGATCCAGAAGGACAGGAGAGCCACTTGCCAATGGAGAGGCTGTCACGAAGATGGATTCAACATGTCTGTGCAGCCTCAAGAGTGAACTGGGAAGTTACGGGGCCACCAGGAGAGACTATAGTTCTGTATAAGGAGAACTCTCTAACAACTTTCTGCTTACCGTTGTCTCTCCTACAGAGACTTGTGTGCGTAATGACCTAAACTGACTGTTAAACTGAATACAACTGAGGCAGAGCCCTCTAAAACTGTAACAGGTGCCCTTAAGAAGGCAGCACACTCCCTTCTCTTTACCAATATTTGCAGAAAAGATGAAAAGTACTTTGGTGGGCTGCTGGAGGGGGTGGGGTACACTCAACAATTTTTAAAAGTCTCTTCTATGCCTGAGATTCTATGAGGTGCAATAATCAAATTTCAGTGAAATTTAACCTGAATAGTTTCCCCAAAGTAATTGCTGTTTAATATGCCTCATTCTAAATTCAAAGAAGAAATTCTTCTCAGTTATTGAGGTGGATGAGCCAATTTCATTTCCTAAGTATGTCTCTGCATTCATGGGATTTACAGAAAGTTGTGTGGAATGAGAGAACCACGTAACAACAGAATCTCACTCTCTGGTGAGCCCACTTAGATGCTAAAACCAACTTCTTGTTTCTTCAGGCCAGGTTCCACTTACAGAGCAGGAAGTTCGATTCCATCTGGATAGACTGTGAAACAGAAAAGTAAAAACAAAAAAAGCAGAGGGGGAGTGCAAAAAAGATTTCATCTCAAGGACAAATACTCACAAATAATTATCGTCAAAATAATTTTTCCATTTTATTTAACAAGATGACTTTGAATGTACACATTTGGCTTATGAACACAGTGTAAAATATTTATTTCCATCTTCCTTTTAGTTTAGGAGTTACTACATAAATTTGGACAGAGATAATGAACAGGTTTTACATAAGAAAAGGAACGTGCTTCAGCTGATTTGGTGTGACCGTGGTGTTGGCTGATTTCCCGTATTTGTGGAAGTTCGTTAGGTGGGCGTGAACTCGTCCACCTCCCCACTGCCATCAGGGCAGACACTCACAAAACTAGTGCTCGTGTGTGATAGAAGCGTGCTGATCACAACAAACGGTCATTCCTTGAAGACGTTATTAACTTACGGACAAATTTCCACACCTAGAAACACTCTCATGCTACCATTGTACAACATTATCTACTTTCCTTCCATTTAATATGTGAAATCAAATATTCTTGTTGGGGCAAGAAAGTGCACAGAGTCACGGTAGTGTTCCTTTTTCACCTGAAATACAAAGGGCTAAGTATGACCCATGGTGACTCTGTGGAAAGATCCACAGTCCTTAAAAATGGCAACACCCCCTCCATGTTGCAGACAAACTATAAATGGTTTTGCCACAACACTGCTGGGCTTTATGGGCTGTTGAGAAGTCCAGGAAGAAGTAATATGTAAAATTCTTTTCTATGAAAATATGTTTTACTTGAAGAATATAGATTCCAAAGAACACCTAAACAATTACCAATAGTTCTGGGAATAGTATTGACCGTTAATTTCCCAGGCCAAGAGTTATACACAGGGAAAGAATTAAGCACTTTGAGGCTGACTCTTTTGGGAATCATTAAATTAATATTTTTTACATTTATAGAGTAACTGGTCCAATTACAAACCAATTTGTCCAACCGGATGTCCGAATTGATGGGTCAATGAAGGCAATGGATACAGTCAGAGGGGAAGCACCTTGTCTGGGAAATGAAAAGCCCCAATTAAATACTGCCTCCTCTCACTGAGCAGCAATGAGAGTCCCTCATAGGCTGACAATATTTGCCTCTCAGGGAAAAATGACAATGTCAGCTCATGGAACAACAGGACAATTTATTGGTTAAATATTTTCTGCAACGTCTACACTTCAGTTAAAACTATACTATTCAGTTAAAACTATACTATTTACAAATCAGTAAATATGCCAAGGGGCTCACAGCATGCCTACAAGACAAAATATACAAAGTTATGGCAAGCTTCTCGCAAGGCTCCTTAAAATAACAGGAAATTTTGAATCAAAAAGAGAGATGAAAATATAGGCTATATATCATAAAGGAGCCATACTCTGGGAAAGGCACTCTCTGAAAAGCATAGAAGACTACTTTATCCAAGAGGGAATCACAAACATAAAAATAAAATATTTGGTATTCTACACTATATTACAAAAATAAATATATCCATCAATAAATAGTAGGAAGCCTAGAAATTCTTACATGGATATTTTGGTTATTGGCTGCCGAAGTCCCTCTGCTACAATTTTTCTTGAGAGTCGACTTCAATGATGATAATTCTGACGTAAAAATGTAAAAAAGACTGGTATGGGACGTCGCCAAGGTCTAGGAGCAGAGAAGACATTAGCGAACTCTGCTTTCCTAGGGATCTGACAATTTCACGGCTTCGTGTTCATGCAACGATGTAGAAGAGACGCATGCATCCTGGAAGAGGCCTGAGGAGAGCTAGGAGGACTCCTCTATTTAGAGTTTATGTTTTTTCATCTTCTGATGAGAAGAAAGCAGAAAAAACTCAACTAACAACATTTGAATAACAAATATGTGGCTTTCTGCACTTTCTTTCCATAGGGAAGAAGAAAATCACAGAAATGCATGTTTGTGTCTGGACTGTGGGAAAGGAGAAACATCTGGGATATGCAGGCTAATCGCCGACAGCCTGGATTTTCACATCTCTTTAACCGAAGAGTGATTCTAAGTGCTCGCAATGAGGTTTTTCCAGGAACCTGGCAGAGTCAGCAGAGGGAAGGCAGAAAGCAGGGCCTGGCACACTTCAGTGTTCTAATATCAGTGTGCTAATAGCAGCGGGGTGCCAGAGCTGGCATGCGTGGCTCCTGAGAGCTGACTGTTAAGTTTTCAGGAATTTTGCAAGCCAGTTGACATCACGCTGGTAGCTTGAAATAAGCCATGGTGGGAGTAGTTAACACCATTGAAATTCACAAATCAGGGCTTATTCCCTCCCAGGATTGCTGGTTGTTAAGCATTTACCAGCTTACCACTGTCTTATATATTTTAGACATAAAGAAAATTTTGCTTGATTTTTATTAACCAGGACTATCCTGTTCAGTTGAGGTTTTACTGTATGTCAATTACAGTGTCCTTTAGAAAGGATAAAAAGTACCATAGAGTATATGAATATACAGAGTGCACTGTGGGTGTAAAGGATGCACCACATCCCGCTGTGGGCTCTGAGTGTGGCTATCCAAAGCCAGTTACACAGACACACACATATACACACACACACACACATACATGCATACCATTTTATATGGAGACTATTTCATAAATGAATGATTCTGAGCTGCATGGCCATCTCAAATTATCAATCACTGTATACTCACTGAGGGTCAAAATACCACTTTTCTTGGGCAATGATTTCCCCAGGATCCACCCTCTGGATGCTAGTGGACAGCAGATATGCAGAACTGAGGTCCACATTGGGCAAAATGTCCTTCAAAATAGCTTCCCTTGCCTCTATTTTCTAGTGTAATATGAATGTATAACTCCAAGAAGTTTGTGAAAGGGAGACAGATGGTTTCCCACAGTTAAAAAAAATGCAAGCGTTCTTAAGGAAGCATTCAACAGGGTGAGTGGGAAACAGTGTACTAGAAGCCACATTCCTGACTCTAGTGTGAACCATCCGTGTTGTCTGCCTGGAGGTGTCAGAACAGCTTGAGAACTGCTCTGCTCTGGTTCTTCCTGCACCAAGTATATGATCCCACGTGCGGGGGAGGATCCTAAGACCAAAGCCAGAGTCTCAGAGTCCTTCCAACTGGCCAAGTGCTGGCAGACCCACCAGACCATTCCGGTAAAGAACACATCCCAGTCCCTTTGTCCTGGCCAGTTCCGAAGTGGGAAGACTACCGAATGGGAAGAGTGGGAAGGCTACAGGGTTTCTACCATGGGGCAAACCTGATTTCAAAATACAGGCTTAGTTTTTGAGTTATTTGTTCAAGTGTCTATTTATTGACTCGTTTATTTAGATGTATCTGTTTAGACTCTGATTTTCTTTTTCTTATATTTAAGTATTCTTCATGAACAAGACATTTCACAAAGGATATTATTAAAATAAATCAAATTAAATATCAAGGGGAAACCTAGAAATTAGAGCTAACTCCATTCATCCTGAGGAGAAATGCTTTCAGATGTCCCCTTCCAGCCCACAGCGGGGGCAATGAAGGCCAGCGAAGACAGAGGACAAAGGAATGGGAGAAAGATATGAGGCAAAGAAGAAAGAGGGGAGGAAAAAGGCGGGAAAAAAGCAAAAGCAGAGGTGCAGAGGCAAGGGAGAAATATTAAGATTTGAAGAAAAATATTAAGAAGCAGAGTCCAACAAACAGATCCTTTCTGGATTTTCCTCCTCTGAGTCACTGATAATTTTATTTAGTCCAAACGATTTAATTCTCCTGTTAAAACTGCTTCTAATTTTACAAACACATCCTAGAATAGGATCTATATCTTTTCCCCCTCCTCCCCGTGAGGCCCCTTCCACCTCCTCTCCCTCTACAGCAATAAAGGCCAACATTCACGGCTTTGCTTTAATTATCTCAGGAACAGATGTCATCCTGAAGTGCCCTGTCTTTCTTTCTTGGCCAGGCGCTGCCCTCTAGAGTTCACTGTGCCCTGTGGGCTCCTTCTTTGCTATTGTACCTTAAGGCCACTCCGTCTTGAAGCCATTTGGTTTCTGCATCAAATAACTCCTCCTCTCAAACATGCAGTCTCCTTTACTAGGCTGTGCTGCTCTCAGCAATGGCAGAAACTCAACTGACAAAAGCGACACCTATATTTCCAATAGCATTTAGGAAATGGAGTACTTCCTAGGAAGGTTAAATTCCTGGTGCAAATTATCTTGACATAAATCCTACTCAGAGAAGAGGTGACTGAGAACATACCATTGACTTTTAATATATACACATGGGGTTGAGTCATGCACATGTGTGAGTCTAATCTACCTCTATAGAACCAAAAGATTTTTATAAGTTTATCTATGTACACATATACATACACAAATATCTATCTTTCGACGCTGTATTTCTGCTTAGGGGTTGTTGTTTTCAAATTGACATAGAGGACAAGTAGTGTGGGTTTGCCACTTGCTGTTAGAGATGGTATTGCCGGGAAATGGCAAGTCTGAAGAAAAACAGATTGGAAGGGTCTAGACTGCATAGTAAAAATGCATTTCCTACAACAAACTGACCTGTCAAATTCCCTAAGGTAGCAAGACTCTATGATCTGTACATAATCTTATTAAATAATCTTATTAAATAGGAACACAAAATATACACATTTACAGTTATTAAATAAGCCACAGGACTCCTCTTCTATCTACAGCCACATTCAGAGACGGCCATGCCTTCATATTTAAACTTGTAGGTGACGACACCTTTGTCTAAATAGAGGATGGAGATGGGCTCTAGCTTGGTGGGCACACAGCAGGCTTTGGAAGCCTTCTGGGAATTCTTGAGATGGACCAAGGCCTGGATAATTGCATGCTTTGTGGGTGTGAGATGCTCTGCCAGGGGGTAGTTGCAAACACCACGGCATTCGTAGGCTTCGTATCCAGGCGGAGCAATGATCCAAGAGTCCCAGCCAATCTCCTTGAAGTCGATGTAGAGTGGGGTCCTCTTGCAGTAGTTTCCTTTGGCATTTCTTCTGATGCGGGCAGTGGAGTCATAAATGATGTTTGACCTCATCTGCAGCAATGCCTCTTCCCCAGGTCCACTGGAAAAACCCTCCAGGCCCAGGTTGTCCAACTCCAGAAGTTGCTCATGGGCGATCATTTCAGTCAGTTCCTCCTTCCCCTCCTTCTCACTGCTTTGGTCATCAGAAAACACGACAAGCAAAGGGTCATGCTTATTCTCGGCACTGGTGTCTATTTCTAGTTGTCCTCTGCCAGCGTCCTCAGCTTCATCCTGTCTGCTCTCGATGTGGACCTCCAGCTGGTGGGTGGATAAGCCTGACTTTTGCCAATGTCTGATGGCATTGGTAACATCAAAAGTCTCCCACTCACTGTTGGTTCCATAGATCTCCCCTGACACCAAGACCAGCATGGTCCTTTCACCCTCATTGTCCCCTTTGCTCTCTAGTACTTCATAAATGGTAATTTTCCGGTCTACTCCATCATATATTATGCGATCTCTTTGCACCAGCGTGTACAACCTGAGTTCAGCCATGATGACCTCTTCGTGGTGAGGGATGGACACATTGAAGAAGAGAGGGTATTTTCGGAGCCCATTAAAACTGGCTGGTTGGGAAAACAGATCTGCAAAAAAGACAAAAATCATATTTGCAGTATGTTGCAGTGAAAAACAGATGCTTATTTATGTAGTAAGAGGGATTGTCCACGCAGGAAGCTTGATACAGAGAGAAGGAGGGGAGATCAACAAAAACAAACACAATGTTAGCATTCTTTGACACAGAAAATACTGAAAGGTCAATGGTAGAATGCTAAACTCAGTTAAGCTGCCAAGACTAAAATGAAAATGGCTGCCTAATGAATGGGAGAAAACTCTCCCAGCATTTCACAGCTTTTCATATTTGTATTTGTAATGGGTGGAGATCCCCACATAGTTAGCTGGGCACTGGTCTTCCTAAAAGAATTCCATCTAGACCAAAGGTTGGTAAACTACAGCTCATAAGCCAAATCAGCCTGCCACCTGTTTGGGAGAATAAAGTGTTATTGGAAATCAACCTCTCCCATCCATTTCTGTATTGTCCGTGGCTACTGCTGCACTGCAGTGGTAGAGTTAAATAGTCACAACAGAGAACAATGGCCCACAAAACCTAAATTATTTACTATCTGTCTGGCCCTTTACAGAAAAAGTTTGCTGACCCCTACTCTAGATACCAAAGCCTGACAAGGTCAACAAAATAGCTATAAACCAGGGGGCACAGCAGTTGAATTCTGGGTAACTGGTCCTTGACAAGAAGGAATGGGAAAAAATGAACGTTGGGGATAGACTGGTTGCCTTAGTCTTGTATCCTTTGCACCTGGCATGGAGTTAAGCACGTATGAATCACTCAGAATGTTTATGGAATACGTTTTCAAAGATCCTTTGGTCTTAGAAGCATACCTCCAAATATCATCATGCTGACTTCCTACCTGAGAATTTTACAGGACTCCAAAGTTCTTGTACACTTGCCTCAGGTAATACATGTTTACAAGGAATCCCTGAAGGCATTTGTCATCAATCAAAGGGTTCCATGACACCAAAGATGCAAAGGACTGCCAATTGGAGGATTCTCTATCATCTTTGGCAGCATTTTCCCAACTGCATATCCAGTTCATGATTTCAGTGGGGTCCCTGTTCTAGATTGTATCTTTAATATTTTTCTTTAATTTGATCTGATTACTTTTACACATATTATCTCTTTGGAGACTTATCCTAAACAACAAGCATTCATGAAATGAGGGCTTTGAGGTGATAGTTACATGGAGTTTTTTCTAATAAACATTAATACAAATATATAATGATTGCACATGATTCACAGCTTCCTCTAGGTACCACCTAAAGTCGTTTCATACCCTGCCAGTGGGAAACACTGGTCCATGGAAGGAATTTAAACTCTCTAGCTTGGCTCTCAAAATCAGCTATAACCATTTCTTAACCTCTTGATCCAGTCATAGCTCCCATTCATTCTCTACAGTGCATGAAACATTGCAACTGATCAATCGATATTTGTTGAAAGATTAAATAAATTGTAAACCCTTCTATTTAAAGTAGACTGATATCAGGGGCCAGCCCCGTGCCAAGTGGTTAAGTTTGCACACTCTGCTTCGGTGGTCCAGGGTTCACTGGTTCAGATCCTGGGCGCAGACCTGCACACTGCTCCTCAAGCCATGCTGTGGAGGTGTCCCACATGGAAGAACTAGAATGACTTATAATTAGGATATACAACTATGTGCTGGAGCTTTGGGAAGAAAAAAAAAACCCAGAAGATTGGCAACAGATGTTAGCTCAGGGCCAATCTTCCTCACCAAAAAGCCTACCTTAAAATATGTATATATACATACACATACACATATATATAAAGTAAATAAATAAAGTAGACTGATATCTTCACCACTTGCCAAAACATTCCTTTGCTTTATTGTGTATTGCACCTTTGGATATGTTCTTCTGACCCTTGGAAAACCTTCTCCCCTCACCTCCACCTCCGTAGCTGTGACCCCTCCCTCTCTCACCACCCTGTCTGGAAGTTCACTTCTTTCTGGGTCACTTGAGTATTTACTCTCTGTATCTCTCCTTTGACCTTTGCCATTTACATCCTCGTATTTCAATTGTCTCTTTATGAATGGGTCTTCCCAACTAGATTGTCATCATGCTGGCAGGTACCACAGCTTAAACTCGCTTCTATATCTCCGATATACCAAGATGCCTTATATAGAAGTGGCACTTTGAAAATATTGATTAGTTGATGATTCTGGGCACCAGACCAAATTGATGTATGGGCATGACAAACGTCCTTAATACATCAAGTAACTTGGGAGTTGTCTCTCCTTATGAGAATGAAAGAGACTTGACTCCCCTTGGGCAGAGTGGACAGGGAACATGAGAAGACCAAAAATAGAGGAATAGACTGGTTGCTCCATCCATGAGAAAAGCACAGAGTAAAAGTTTACTGTAGTGGGAGGAAGGGATTAAAAAGGAACACAAGGAAACTTTTGGTCTGGCGAATATGTTCACTATCTTGATTGTGGTGATGGTTTCAATGGATGTTTACATATGTCAAAACCTATCAAATTATATACCAAATATGTACAATTTATTGTATGTCAATTATACTTTAATAAAGCAGTTAAAAAATAAGTTCACTGTGCATGTGCAAATATAGTAAGTAATAGATGGAGGGGTTGCATTTCGGGCAAGAGAACTAATGTTTGTTGAGCAAATTTCATGTGCCACGTGCTTTGCAAATATTGTTTTACTTAGTTCTTACAATGACCCTATAATGCAGGTATTGCTGGTCTGTTCATTTTATAGCAGAAGAAATCGAGCCTTGATGCAGAGAACTGACTTCCCCAAGATGACAAGGTGAGGTCAGAGAAGTGGTAGGAATTGAAGTCACGCTTTTCCCACCTTGAAGGCGGCACTTGTTTTCCCCTGATTATTTAGATTTGGAGGAGGGATTTTTTGGTCTTTGTCTCTTAGGGAGCTGCAAGAAGCAGACCCAAAGAGTCAAAAGAGAAACAGTAACAGCCAACAGGGTGAGCCCAGCGCAGCAGTCATGTCCTCAGGGCTGTGCATTTCCACCCACAGACTGGCAGAGGTGTGGATAGCTGGGTTGTCCGCCAAGAGATTTGCTCCTGCCCTCGCTGGTCTCCAGTAATAACAAGCTCTTAAACTCCACTTCCTGACCTGGATCATCCAAATTCTCCATGGGAGAAGCAAGAATTGAAAAACTCCTATTTTCCCAGGGGATGTGAACATTTTTCCACCCACATCCTGAGCCAGGCACCTCAGGTTCAGTGCTCAGAAACATAAGGAAGAGTTCCCACGGAGGAGGCTATTTATTTTCACTTCTGACTCACCTCCAAAAGGAATCTGTAATTTCAGCTTGACATTTCCAATTTGTTACCAAATGTTTGGCGGTCACCTAATCTTAAAGGCAAATGGTATCTCCAGGACTGAGCAATACGCACTCGACATTTCCTCCAACGCCTAGAGTTTAAGGAATTCATTTGTAATAACTAGCGTTTGCTCAGCACTTCATAGCAAATGGAATGCTTTCGTACTTATAACCTCTTTGAAATCGCTCTTTTGACTTATGTAGGTATATTAGCCCCAATTTACAGAGGAGGAAATTGAGGTTCAGAGAAATTAAGCTAATTATCCACAACTACCAAGTCAACCCTGTTTCAAAATTCCAAATCCTGAGCTATTTCTTCACCACCACCTTTCTGCTTTCAAGAACATTGGTCAACATCAGTCTAAACCCCCTTTTTACCTGGTTAATGACTGTAAAAGCATAATTGGTAAATAGTAAAGAATTAGCTTCTTTGGACTCACAGCTTTTACCATAGATATTAGGAAAAAAATTTTTTGCCCACTAGCATCATATTAAACAAAGGATTAATTAGCTGATCATTAGATTTAGTTACTGAATAAAGATCTAGAAATACCTGGGGGGAGAAAACACACTTTTTCCACTGATACTTAGAGCTTGTGCATCACTCTTCATAAAGACACAGAAATAAGCTGGATCATTAACTGGGCCATGCACACTTCCTGGAAACTATAAACAGTGCTTCAAGGATATACATGTCACATCAAACACAGCAAAACTTTAGGAAGAATCTCTAAAATACGTTTCCATTCTATTTGAACGTTTCTTAAACAAGGTCACAAAATTAAAACTCATCCAAAGTTTGAGCAAAACTCAAATCGCAACTTCCTGTTTTTTGCCTATTTTCATTCTAAGTAGAAATTGACAAATTTTGTAGTCAATTAAAAGCCAAATGGAAACTGAGGCCTATCTGGAAAATGACAAACAAAGGTATAATAGTAGACCAATATTAATTTTTTTTATTACTTGCTGTCTAAATTAAAATTTTTTAAAGCCCAATTGTGATGCCAAAGTGGTAGACACTTTATGACTTTGGATTAAAAGATATTCTTTAAAATACCTTTTAATACCATTTGGGAAATGACCATAAAAGTGGCATAGACCAAAATGCACATCGTTTTATGTTTCTGTGTTCACACACCCTTATATAGATATATTCACCTTTATCTACATTATTCCCATGAAGTGTAAATTTACTTGTCACTTCTTGAAAAAATCGAAGCCAAATTTCATCAATAAAGTATAAATTTACCTTCATTCTTGAAACTCCTAATGATGTTGGCAGACGGCATGGAGGTCCGATCGGTTGCAAATTTGTTGTAGAGTTCCAACATGTACTCTGGCGGGTCAACCTTGGCTGAATCCTGCATAGGGATGTCAGACAGGTTCAATGTCTTGAGAAATTCATTTTTCATGCTCTGCAGCAATGTGTTGAAGTCAACACCATCTTGCTCTGAGAAGACATCATCGAACAGGGGCATATCTTCTTCCAGAGGCGACCGCTCCAGGCTCATGATGGGGCTGCCAGAAACCAAGTGAGCCACCAGGCAGAAGAGAGCGCACAGCTCTAAGGCCAGAGAACCCATGACTCTGCTGGAGCCCCCAGGCCAGCCCAGGAAGGTTTAGCTCTCCTGGGCTCTAAGTGGCAGTTTTATCTTGTGGAGCGTAAATGTCTCGTGTCACTGGAGACAAGTTTGGAAACTCTTCCCCTCTCTCTCCCTCCCCCTACCATTCTTCCTCTCCCCCCAAAAGTCAGGTTGCAGTAATTGGATAACAAAATCCGCCATAGGGGCCTAGCCTTTCTTATCTCTCTAGTGTAAACTTGTGCACCAGATTTTGTTTCTATCTTGCTATCCCTTTTTCTTTTAATGAGCATTTTGTAAACATTTCCACATTCTGACACTGGCTGAGAGATAGGATAATTTTCTCCTTGCAAAGGCTCTGCTTCTCTTCCTTTCAATTCACTTCCTTTTGGCAGGAATGCCTAAATTCTGCTTTTATGTGGTTCAGTTTCACACATGCGTATAATAGATATTAAGAATCAACACAATACGCATCGATGGTGATACGTATGAGTGATGGGGCATCCATCCTCACATAAACATTTCTGAAGAAAGACCAAATATCCAACATCTCCAAGTTGAGTGAATAGATGTAAATGAATTTATATAAATTTTTAGAAGCTTGCATTTCTAGAAAGAGGAAAGTATAAACGACATGGTCAATAGCCTTTTGGGGACAGATTTGATCTGGCTAATATGGCTTTTGAAAAATATGGAGAGTTCTTAATTATAATAGCAACTAAAATTTATTAAGTGTTTTCCTATAAACACCCACTTAGACATATGTAAGTGCTTTATACATATCACCGAACGTGCTCCCTATAACAGCCCGATTATTATCCCTGTTGCATATTTGGGTCACTAAGTTTCAATAACTTGCCAGAGGTCACAAAACTACAAAGTGATAGAGCCAGGATTTGAACCCAGGCAGTCTGACTCTTCGAAAAAAGAAAACAATCAGGCTTCTTAACCCATGTCCCCCTAGACTGTGGCTCAGCCAGTGATGCTGAAAGGCTGACTAAGCCCAAGGGTCCAGAGTCAGGTGGCAGGCAGCAATTCACAGGTGGATGTGGAGCTCAGATCCTTCACCTGTGCAATGAATTATTAAGATGACCAAAATCTCTACCAAATGCATCTTTATGTCTAAGTCAAACTGATCAACAAGTGGCTCCAGTAAAGCTTGGCAAACAACACTATTAGGCAATGAAAAATGCCAAATGCCTTGGTCTGAAAAACAATGGTGGCATTGATTGTGCGTCCGGTTTAGGAAAGACAAATCAAGTTTGTCTCACCCTCCAACCCCAGTTAGTGGCGGTAGCAACATAGTGTGGTCAGGATGGTCCTATGGATGACTCCGGGGGGGCTTTTCCCACTGGGACTGTAGAACTGGTGTCTCCCTGACTTGCTCAGTGCACTCCCTGTGCAATTATTCAAGTGCTCTACCGCAGTGTTCAGAGGACTGTGTCTAGATATTTGGTTCACTGGAGTAATCTCTTAGTTTCTGTGCTAAATTTTCCTACGTCTACCCTAATAGTTTAGCTATAGCATCTCCACTTTCCTTTTTTCTCTAGGCTCCATAAGGTTCATAGTCATCTTCTGAGTCTCTCCTCTCTTAAAATGCAGAATTTTACAGTAATTTTTTGAACTACCACAAAAAGAACTGTATTTTAAAGACAAATCTCTCTTCCAAATTGTCCACTTGTTTAGTAGCTGTTGAATTTGATTCAATGCTCTATTTCAATTAAAGCCTCTGCTCCTATATGAAAAAGACTATTGTAGACTGAAAATAGATTATACCCTGAGCTGGTCCACAAGTGAGTGAGTTCAAGAGCCATAAGCCACCCTAGGAGTGGTATGCTTTAACATGAAGTTTCTGACAGCATACCAGCAGGGCCCTTGTATCCCGTCCTGCATCAAAACAAGCACCCGTTTATCTTCATACACACACAGATGTCAACGCACACTCCAAAACTCTGAATGGCAGGCATGTGCGTGTAACTGCCACAGGACAGCAGAGTAAGTGGCAGTACTTATAACCCGGGTGAACTGGTTTCAAAGGTCAGGGGGAGAGATGGGTATCCCACCCTGCAGAATTCCGTTTCTTCACATTCTCAGGAGCAAGACATGCAACTGAGATTTCACTGCCTTCTCCATACTCGGTGTTGGAATAGATTTGGGGTTAGATATTTGGGCCAGTTTCTCCACCATAAATACTTATATTTTGGCTGATTTAAACATAGAATAAGAAAATGTCTATAACCACATCTCAATGTCTATGATTTCTTGACATGAAGGTCCGTAGGCCCTGCATCTGTGCTGGGGTGGACGAGGAAGATTGGGATTCACGCACAGAGGAAGGGCACAGAATCCTCTCCCTCTTCTAGGCCTGGGACACCTCACCTTTTAGCTGCAGAGTCTCTTCATCCCCATGATTTTCTTTAGAAGCTTTTCCTATGACTCTCATCTGACTCTAAAAGATCCAAATATCTCCACATTCCTTCCCCTGTGTTGCTTTTTCTGAACACAATCTATTCTATTACTCTGCGCTAATCTCATTCTTTTGGATCTCATTCTTTTGGAATGTGTTACAATTTGTTTAGAGTAGACTGAAGATGACTATTGTGCTGAGCCAAAGATATGAAAGTTATGTCCAGATGTTTTAAGAGAACCAGAATATGAATTACACATCATGCTTTTCAAACCCACTTCAAAATGCTCCAGAGTCTCTGCTTTATAAAGTTTGAGGCCAAACTTTTAACACTAGTTCCAACAACTGTACAAACTTGAAGGATCTAAGACTGAGCTCCGTTAGATTCTCAAAGGGATCTGCGATCCAGACCAGGTTAGATCATTGGACAACAACCTTACTGACGCCCTTGTGAACAGACCCTGGATAAATGTAATCAATAAAGTTCTCCTGACTGACAAGAGGTCAATGAAGTTCGGTCTTTGAACATGACTCCACATTCTTGCAACTCCCTCCACCTTGGACCCTACTTCAGAAGCATTAAACTACTCTTGCTACTTACTCAGGAATTTTCAGGACCTTGGGGTAAAGCTTCTCAAGCCAGGCATGATAATAAAAATATTTAGCAAGCTACATATCCAGTCCCAGTGAATCAAAACAGATACTACTTGTAGTGTGAGAACCAGATTCCAGAGGCCCCAAGCTTCACCTCCTGAACTCCAGATGCTGGAGAGATTGGGGCGGGATGCTGGGCAAGGGGCTCAGGCAGCAGCTGTTTACCAACCTATACGGGAACATTTTGATATTTTGACTATGTAGTACTGTTGCACTATGTATAACAGGAGAATATAAGTTCTAGGACGAGTCAGAGGGCTCCTGCTCTTCCTCTATCATATGATCTGCCCCAGCACCTCCCTCTAGGATTAGAAGTTGCCTCAACAGTGGCATTTCTTGTCAACTCCACTTTCCGGAGTCCACATCCGCAGTAAGGGAAGTGTTCCTTTGCCTCTGTGACCCCTCAGCATTTAGGTTACCCCTTACCTGAGGCTTATCAGTCTGCCAAGTGGTTCTCACGCAACAATACACAGAGGCCACCTCCTCATCTCAACTCCCCCGATATATGTGACTTAAATGGTCCCTTGGCTCCCTCCTTCATAACCTTCCACAGGATCCCTTCACTCTCCAGTAGGGCCTCTAATGTAAATTATCATCAATAATTAGGGTAGCCATAAAAAAGATTCAGGCCTTTGTCTTCCGTCAGAAGATAGGAAGTGCCAAAGGGGAGGGGTTGCCATGTCAAGGCCAGGGAAGGCCTCCTGGTGGAGGTGAGGGAGTCAATCCTGTGGGCCCATGGAACAAGGGCATGGCAGGCATAGGGAACAGATTGTGCAAAGACTCTGAAGTGACAGCAGGCTTGGGAGGCTTAAACATCAGTGAGAAGATCAGGATGGTTACAGAAAATCGAGTGAGAGGGAGAGTTACAGGAGATGAGGTCGAAGAGTAAGCAGGGGCTGGACCAATTAGCAGGTCATGGGTCTTTTTTAAAAAATAGCCGTGCTATTCAAACACACAACTTGGATTCTTACTTTTTTCACTGAATGTTCCATCTGAAGGGTTTTTCACATTGCCACATAGTCTTCACAGCCATCAATTATATTGGGTAGGTGTTCTATAACCTTGTAAAAAGATTTTTGAAGTAGTAAAGGAAAACTTACATTTCTATTAAAAATTTAAAGACATTGGATACTTAGAATTGAAATACAACTGCCAACATATTCTAAGACGGAGAGCACTTATTAATGTATTTGCTTATTTGAATGTAGGTCCAAGAAAAAAAAACTGCAGAGTGGTCAAATAACATTGATTCTCCATAAAATACCACCAGTCTCAGAGATACAGGGAGACTAACCATCTGCGCCACATCAGCTCTTGCCTAAATAGCAATAATAGGCTACTAACTCCTTCTGTCCTCATCTCCTAACAGTTTCTTCTCAACATTGCACTCCGATCCTGACGTGACATCAATCATCACTCCTTTCCTCACTCCAAGAAAAAGATGAAGTCTTACAAAAGCCTTCTTGGCCCTCCATTACCTCTCTGACATCATTGCCACTTGCTAATTCCACTCCAGCCCCAATGGCCTCCTTGCCATTCCCTGAACACCCCACGCGTTTTCCCACCTTAGGGCCTTTGCTTCCACTGTTCCCTTGCCTGAAACAATCTTGCCCTGAAAATCCACACGGTCACTCTCTCGCCCCCTACAGGTCTTTGCTCAGAAGTAACCTCCTCAAGGAAGCCTGCCTGGAGGACTGTATTTAAAATGGCAGCCCATCAAGCAATCTTGAACCCACCTACTCTGCTCTAGTGCTTACCTATCACCTCCCAACATAAGATACAATCTATTAATATAGTATGCTCATTGTTCTCTGTCTCTTTCTGCCATCCGCCCCTCACCCGCTAGCCAGAACATGTGTTCCAGGATGGCAGGGATCCTAGTTTTGTTCACTGATGTATCATGAGTTCCTTGAACTTTACTCGGCACATAGGAGTTAATAAATGGTCATCAAATGAATAAATTATAGCAAACATTCAAATATTCTTTTCCTTAGATTACTTACAGTAATATCAGAAGTGCCATTTTAAATAAATATTCATTATTAAAGTATGCATGCATTTTCTTGAGACCCACTATATATATCTAGATTG